TCACAAGAATTGATGAGAAACTCACGAAGATCGAAGATCTTGCGGAATCGATGACAAACCCAGCGCCCTCGTCCTTCTCCGTGTCCTCGTGCTCCTGGACCTTCCTTTCCCCAACATGCAAGTCAACTTTTAACAATCGGGACATCCGCAAACTTCTGGGTCATCAACAACAAATCAGAAATGATAACACTCCGGGGAACACTCCGAACGGCGAGGCCAGAGGTAGCCAGAGGTATGGCAGGAGACAGCGAATTCAGGTTCCTCCTCCTCCTCCTCCTCCTGTCCTTCCCCTCCTTCTTCTCAGCAGTTCCCGTCTCCTCGTCATCGTCCTCCCTGTCGCCCCATGAAAAAGGCAAGGGGTCGGCTGGTGTGGCGCAAGCCTGAAGAATATCCTGGGTTTTTCCAGCAGGCCGCGTGGGCGCATGCTCTGGATGGGGCAGTAATCGTCCCCCCCTTGGATCCGCTGCGGGGGTTGGGCACGAGCTGTCGGAACGGGTGGAGGGGGGGTTGGAGGAAGAGGATAAGGAGGAGGATCGCACGCCACTGAGGGGAAAGGGGGGGGGAGAAAGTCCGACGGTCCAAAAAACCCAGGGGGGCCCATCAGAGGGGAACTTTTTGTCACCCTGGCAGGAAGGCCAAAGACCTGCCAGGGGCCAACGACAGGGCCCCCCCTGGGTATCTAACCGCCCAGTTCTTCTTCCTCCAGACCATTGTCTGGGCCTCGTTCGCGTAGCCCCAGTCCCAACTCAGCGGCTTCGAACTCATTAAGTCCAAACGCTTACAGGACATCAGCCAGGCACAGAAATGCACGTGCAGGATGGTCCGAAGTGGCTCTGGACAAACCTCCAGCTCCCATCTGGGCCTTCTTGGACTCCGAGACACCCCCCACCAACTCTCGCGCCCAAGCCCCAGGAGTTCGCCAAGAGCCCAGTTTGAGAGGCCTGTTGGGGTGCTTGCCCTTGCAGACTGCCCGAGGGTTCTTCCTGCCTGGGTCCACCAGGGCCTGCTGGGACCCTCCACAGCCCTTTCGCAGGCCTCTGGATCCCGCAGACACCGTGGCATACCCCGGAGAAGGAGGAGGAGGAGGAGGAGGAGCAGGAGGAGGAGGAGGTGGAGGAGTGTGGGGGGGATGGGCAAGCTCCGTCGGAAGGTTAGTCGCCCACCCAGCCCTCGATTAATCATTCACCCCAAAATAATGTTGTCCTGGCTCGCGATACACCACAAGTTGCCAATCAGGCAAGTCCAATCAAGTTTCCGAGAGAGAGAGAGAGAGAGAGAGAGAGAAAGAGAAAAAGAGAGAGAGAGAGAGAGAGAGCGCCCAGCCAGTGGGGTAGGGAGAGGGCCCGAGCCGTCCGATCCCCCCTTCCCCCAGATCTCCTCCGCCCCTGTGCTGATCGTCCCTTTCCCCAGCCGCCTTCCCATATTCCCCCCCCCTTTCCGAAGCGGCGGACGGCGAGACAACATCCCTCCCGCGCCGCGCCGTGGAGCGGGGTGCTGGACGCCAATGCGCCCCTCTCTTTCCTGTCCCCTCCCTGCGCACGTCTCCCTGTCGCCTCCACCGACCTCTCCTGGGGGCGTCCTGACGAGAACTGCGAGGCCAGTCCAGCCCCGGCAATGCTGCCGCCCCCCCCCTCCGGCCTGCTCACCCCTCCTCCTCCTCCTAATCCTCCTCCTTCTCCTCTTCCTCCTGCTCCTCCTGCTCCTCCTGCTCCTCCTGCTCCTCCTGCTCCTCCTGCTCCTCCTGCTCCTCCTCCTCCTCCTCCTCCTCCTCCTCCTGCTCCTGCTCCTCCTCCTCCTCCTCCTCCTCCTCCTCCTCCTCCTCCTCCTCCTCCTCCCTGCTCCCCCCTTCCAGCGCCAGCCCAGGTTGAAATGCACGCGAGCCAGCGCCCAGGGAAGCCCAGTGCCGCTGCAGCGCACTCTCCCCCACCTCTTGTGAGGAGGAACGCTCGCAGAAGAAGAAGAAGAAGAAGAAGAAGAAGTAACTGTATCAACACTCCCCGATCAGTGCTTGCACTGAAGGGGTCCTAGCGGATACTGAAAGATTAGCCGACAATTTCCCGCCGATTTGGGCAGCCGGCTGGGTTACCAGGTTCCCGGTTCCGATTTGCCGGGGTCCTGGTCATTGGTTCAGAGGGCCGGTTTCGGTGGGTTCCGGGTTCCCAGGTTCCCGGGTTCGATCTCCTTATCGCTCTCTTTACCGATCCCATTTCAAACCATCCACATTGAAGGGGCCCTGGGACACACAAATAAATACACACAAATAAAATGATGCCCCATATTTTCCCATATTTTCTGGGTTTCTGGGTTTTTGTCTTCCCCCCCACTTCCCATATTTTCCCATATTTTCCTGGGAGTCGACGATTAATTGTGTCTGTGTGTTTTTTTCCCTCCTGATTATCGATCTCTTTATCGATCCCATTTCAAACCGTCCACATATTGGATTTTCCTCTGGTGCAATAAACCCTTGGAGGTCCGCGCGGACTTCTCGGATCTGCGCCGGGCCCCCCTCCCTCTGCAGCGCGAAGAGCGCCAGGGGCGGCGCCGGGAGGTCCGGCGGGGGGGGGGGGGGGGGGGGGCAGAGTGCGGATCCGAGGAATGCGCGCGGAGCGCCAGCAGTATATGTTCGTGGCGTTGCTGCCTCTTCTTCGAGACAGGGATGGGGGCCAGCTCGGGGGGCCGGCCATCGCTCGGACGCCCAGTCCCCGTGCTTTTTTTCGGCTTCGTGCGCGGTCTTTGTCGCCAAATGGTCAAGGATGCTCCTCGAGGGTCCTCGCCGAAGAAAAAATGCACACGTCCGAGCGATGCCAGGGGGGGGGGGCATTGCCCCGAACTCTGTGGTAAAATCGCTGCTGGATCGGCGGCAGGCCCCCTGGGACGAAACCGCACGCTCCTGGGCGGGGCAGGCCGTCGGGCCCCAATCGGCGAGGGAGGAGGAGGAGGAGGAGGAGGAGGAGGAGGAGGTGAGGAGGAGGAGGAGGAGGAGGAGGAGGAGGAGGAGGAGGAGGAGGAGGAGGAGGAGGAGGCGGAGGAGGAGGAGGAGGAGAGAGGGAGGAGAGGAGGAGGAGGAGGAGGAGGAGGAGGGAGGAGGAGGAGGGAGGAGGAGGAGGAGGAGGAGGAGGAGGAGGAGGAGGAGGAGGAGGAGGAGGAGGAGGAGGAGGAGAGGGAGGAGGGAGGAGGGAGGAAGAGGACGAGGAGTGCCGTGCTCCTGTTTGGGGCCCCGTGCCCGGGAAAGCACGCCCCCTATGAAGGCCGAGAGCTGTGTCGGCCAACACAGTCGGGCGGCTGAAAGGAGGACCGCTGCATGAAGGACGGAGCCCCCCTCTGGCACCAAAAGCGCCCGCGCGGACGGCGAGCGCTGGAGGAACAGCAGCGGGAACTAAGGAACATCGAGCCCCTTCGAGACCTAAGCTGTTCCTGATTTCAGCGTTTTGGCGGCAGCATGCACCTACAACGCCTGCCTTCCATCCTCCTCCTCCTCCTCCTCCTCCTCCTCCTCCGTCTTCCATCCTTGCTCCCACCTCCTCCCTCCTCCCTCCAGAGGAAAGAACTCGAAGGGAGGTTGTGGGAGGGGGAGGGGGGCGGGGGTGAACAAGATGCCAACGCCACGACTCCTCGGGCCTCTGCCTGGGGCGTGCTCTAACCGCGACTCGGGAGCGAACCCAGCCGTGGCGACCCAGGACCCTCGCAGATCAAACCAGCAAAGGCGACACACGCGGAAGGAAATTCGCACTTCGTCTCCCCTGCCCTGGCAGGGGGGGGGCGGTGGGCGGTGGGCGGTGGAGACGAACCCCCGGCGGGGGCCAGGCGGGCGCGTCCTCGTCGCTCACCTGGCGAGCGCGGGGCGGGGCATGGGTGCTGGCCGCGCGCTCCGCCGGGGTGGAAAGAGGAGGATGGCTAGGGAGGGAGGGGGAAGAGGAGGAGAAGGAGGCGGAGGAGGGGGAGGGAGGATGAGGATGAGGAAAAACATTAAGGATGAAGAGGAGGAGGAGGAGCAGCAGGAGGGTGACGGAGCCAGAGCGCTCGGCGGAGTGGCCGCGGCGTGCCGGGCCCCCTTCGGCTCTTGAGGAGCAGCGCCCTGGCGGGCCGAGTGACACATGGCACAGCACGGCGCGGCAAAGCAGCGGCCTTCCAGACAGAAGCAGCAGGCTGCTCACTCAGAGGAGGAGGAGGAGGAAGAGGAGAAGAAAGAGGAAAACGAGGAGGAGGACGAGGAGAAAAAGGAGGAGGAGGAGGGAAGGGAGGAGGAGGAGGAGGAGGACTAGGAGGAAGAGGAGGAGGAAGAGGAGGAGGAGGAAAAGGAGGAAGAGGAGGAGGAGGAGGAGGAGGAGGAGAAGGCGGAGCATGAGGAGGAGGAGGAGGAGGAGGAGGAGGAGGAGAAGGAAAGTGACGGAACCCGAACGCTCGGCGGACTGGCCGCAGCGCGCCGGGCCCCCTGTTGCTTTTGAGGAACATCACTCTGGCAGGCCGAACGACGCATGGCACGGCGCGGCGCGGCGGAGCAGCGGCCTGCCAGACAGAAGCAGCAGGAGTATCTCTCAGAGGATAAGTATGAGTAGGAGTAAGAGTAAGGGTAGGATAGGAGGAGGAGGAAGATGAGGAGGAGGAGGAGGAGGATGGCAATCTGGTTTGATCCTTGGAACAGGTTTGATCCTTGGATGGCAATCTTTTCGAAGGGGCAGGTCGCCGAGACACGACGGGTGTTTGCCGCGGGAGCCTGCAACGGCGGCGCCAAAGGCGGTTCCACATGACTGGCCTTCTTTTCTCCTCCGCCTCCTCCTCCTCCTACTCCTCCTCCTCCTCCTCGACCTCGACGTCGTCGCCCTGACCATCCTCCACCTCATCCGCAACCTCATCGTCGTCCTCTGCCTCCGCATCCTCCTCCTCCTCCGACTCCTGAGGCCTCCTCCTTCCTCCTCCTCCTCCACCGCAGTCATCGTCCACTTCCTCCCCTCCTCCTCCTTCCTCACTCATCCAAGCACTCGGGGCTGCATGGCGGTCGCCTCCTCGACGTCGTTGGCGTTGCCGTCGCGGCACCCGCACTCCTGCCGAGCGCCCGGCAGCCACGCGCGCGGGTACGCCTCGACGCAGGTGCTGCGAGACGGGGGCTTTTGACCAATGACCAGCGCCTGGGGGATCGATCTTCGAGGTCCTCGGCGGGCGGTGGAGTTGGAACGATTTGGCCACCTCAGACCCCAAGTATAGGTGTATCCACCGCCTGCCGAGGTCCACGAACATCGATCCCCTGGTTGTGGTTACAAGTACTCGCCATCGCTCGGACGTCCATTCCCTGTGTTTTTTTCGGTTTCGTGCGTGGTTTTTTCGCCAAATGATCACGGATGCTCCTCGATGGTCCACGCCGAAGGAAGAATGCACACGTCCGAGCGATGCCAAGGCCACCTCAAACCCCAAGTGTATTTGTATCCACCGCCTGCCGAGGTCCACGAACATCGATCCCCTGGTGGTGGTTTACAAGCAAGCAGATCGCCGCCTCGGCGGTGCGTCGGCCAGGGAGCGTCGACGCACGTGCATCGATCGGGAAGTAGCGCCAAGACGGGCCCGCAGAACGCACGCTGCACGCTGCAGTTCACCAGGTGACGTAACAGCTGTCAAGACAAACAAAAAGGAGTCGACAGAGCCGGAGGGTCGCCTGTCCTCCTCCCCCTCCCCCTCCCCCTCCCTCCTCCTCCTCCCCCTCCAGTCCTCCCTCCTCCCCTCCTCCTCCTCCTCCTCCTCCTCCTCCTCCCCCTCCTCCTCCACCTCCTCCTCCTCCTCCTCTTCCTCCTCCTCCTCCTCCTCCTCCTCCTCCTCCTCCTCATGAGAACTCACACCTAGTAAATATTGGCTGCCAGATCTCAGTACGAGCGGGGAGACGACGGTAGAAGTGGTTGGATCGAGACGTGTCTCCGGCAGGGCAGGATGACTAGCTCGGCGTGTAGCGAAAGTCAACGGGCCCGACAAAATTGAAGCCACACAAGGCCAAGAACATACCAGCAGAGCGACGCGACCAGAGTTCGCCCCGGTTGCAAAGCGAGCGCCCGAGCCCGAGAGCCCCAAGCAGGATGAATGTGAACGTTGAGTATCTGAAGCTGCCCCTTGGCCGTAGAGAGCGTGACTCCGAAGATACACCCTGCCCAAAGATCATGGTAATTGGACACGTAGTGTCCTACGATATTATCACCCCGAGCCTCCCAGCAGCATGATAGCTTCCAAAGGAGTGGTGGTGCGGGAAGACTTTTCCAAGTGATACCAGGTCTTCAGAAACACCGTGGGGTTCCTGGAGACAAACAACGTGGTGATAAGCTGCCAAACACTAAACCATCTGAACGTAGCCGATTGGCGGACATGTTTTCCGCTATTCAGCAAAAATGATGATGCTGATGATGATGACCATGATGATGATGATGATGCTGATGCTGATGCTGATGCTGATGATGATGATGATGATGATGATGATGATGATGCTGATGATACGGATACGGATACGGATACTGATACTGATACTGATACTGATGACGATGATGGTGATGGTGGTGATGATGATGATGACGATGACCTGATTGGATGCCCCTCAAACGAGGTCCGAGTAGATGGGGTCGGAGTATCGCGCCGCATCGCCGATGCATCTCCAACGCATAGGAGACGTCGGTGGCGCATCGGCAACGTCGGTGTGGAGAAAATCGGGATCTGCATCGATTCGCATCGACAGTGCGGCGCGATCCTCCGATCTCATCTGCTGCGGCCAGGTATGGGAGACCCGGGGTGATGGTGATTGTGACGACGGCGACGACGACGACGACGACGACGACGGCGCGGGTGTGAACGAAGCTCCAAGCCGAGCATGGAGAGCATCCGCTGGAACAGGCAAGCGTCGGACTGAGGCCGGCGATTCGCGTGCTCGTTGGCGCGATCCTTGTTTAGCGGCGAGGGCCCGGGCAGGGATTGGCGAGCGGATGGCGGGGGGGAGAAGATAAGGTGGTCGAGGAGGTAGCGAAGGAGGGGGAGAAGGCGGAGGAGAGAATAACAGGGAGGAGCAGGAAGGAGGAGGGGGGGAGAGAGAAGGAGTCCTGTCAGGAGAGCGGAGGACAAAAAAAGAGAGGATGCAGTAGGGGCAACGTCCGACATGGCCCAGGGTTCATGGCTGCAGACCTTCTCAGCAGCAGCCCTGGTCAGCAGCAAAAGGTCACGCGTGAGGGGAGGACGAACGGAGAAGATGAAGGGAAACTGAGACACACAAATAAATACACACAAATAAAAGGATTCCCCATATTTTCCTATATTTTCTGGGTTTCTGTCTTCCCCCCACTTCCCATATTTTCGCATATTTTCCTGGGAATCGACGATTAATTGTTTCTGTGTGTTTCTTCCCCTCCTGAGGAACGCACGACGGGCGGGAGACGCTGCCGCACCTGGGCGCCCCGCCCCCGGGAGGGGCAGATTCGAAGGGGCCCAGGGACACACAAGCAAATCTACACAGGCAACAGGATTCCCCATCTGTTCCGATATCTTATGGGTGTTCGTCTGCCCCCCACTTCCTGTGTCTTCCAATCTGCTCCCGGGAGTCGACGATGAATCGTGTCTGCGTGCTTCTTTCCCTCGTGAGTATCTGCGTGGCACTGGGGCCGACATCAGCCTCACATGTCGGTCACATAGGCTGCAGAAAAAACAATTATCCTGGCGAAAGGCCAAACCATATGCAGCTGTGAGTATCGCGTTGTGGGTACCGCTCTCGGTGGAATCCCCTATGGGGCCACGATCCTCGTGAAGGGTGTGCCGAAATGGGCGGGGGGGCGCATGCAAACCCTGCCGCTGGGGCCTTCGGTGGAGCTCCCTACGGGGCCACGGTCCTCGTGAGGGGTGTGCCGAAATGGGCGGGGGACGCATGCAAACCCTGCCGCTGGGACCTTCGGTGGAGACCCCTATGGGGCCACGATCCTCGTGAAGGGTGTGCCGAACTGGGCGGGACGCATGCAACCCCTGCCTCCGGGGCCTTCGGTGGAACTCCCTATGGGGCCACGATCCTCGTCAAGGGTGTGCCGAACTGGGCGGGGGGACGCATGCAAACCCGGCCGCTGGGGCCTTCGGTGGAGCTCCCTGCGGGGCCGCGATCCTCGTGAAGGGTGTGCCGAAATGAGCGGGACGCACGCAAGCCCTGCCGCTGGGGCCTTCGGTGACGTTCCTATGGAGCCACGATCCTCGTGAAGGGTGTGCCGAACTGGGCGGGGGGACGCATGCAAACCCAGCCGCTGGGGCCTTCGGTGGAGGGACGCATGCAAACCCTGCCGCTGGGGCCTTTGGTGGAGCTCCCTATGGGGCCGCCACGATCTTCGTGAGGGGTGTGCCGAACTGGGCGGGGGGACGCATGCAAACCCTGCCGCTGGGGCCTGCGGTGGAGCTCCCTATGAGGCCGCGATCCTCGTGATGACTGTGCCGAAAGTGGTAAGGGGGACGCATGCAAACCCTGCCGCTGGGCCTTCGGTGACGTTCCGTATGGGGCCACGATCCTAATGAGGGGCGTGCCGAAATGGGCGGGGGGACGCATGCAAACCCTGCCGCTGGGGCCTTCGGTGGAGCTCCCTACGGGGCCACGATCCTCGTGAGGGGTGTGCCGAAATGGGCGGGGGACGCATGCAAACCCTGCCGCTGGGACCTTCGGTGGAGACCCCTATGGGGCCACGAAGCCTTGTACTGGGTGGGTGAAACGCAGGGAGGTGACGAGGCGGATGGGAGGAGGGAGGAGGGGGAGGAGGAGGGGGAGGAGGAGGAGAGGAGAGGAGGAGGAGAGGAGAAGATACGCGGGGCGCTGCCTCTTCAAAGCGAGGACCCAGCACCACGGGATGGTTGTGAACAAAACGGCACGTCGAAATGCGAAGAGCCCCCCTTCAACGGATCTGGGGGCCTCCCGTCGGGGCGGGGGAGGACTCCCCGACTGAGGATGGCAAGGTTAGGGCGACGCTATCTATACATATCCACTGCTCCCTGACCACGCCCATCCTGAACCCGCCAGTGGTGTATAAGGCACGCCCTCCTGAGCTGGGCAGGACGGCGTATACACAACTGCTGGATTCATAATGGGCCTGGCCAGGGAGCAATGGATATGTATAGATCTCGCCGCCCTAAAGGTGGTGCCTCCTGTGATTTCTCGCTTTCCCTAGCCACTTTGGCTCAAGCCGTCTGGGCTCGAGCACGCCCCGGCTCAGGTGCTGCGCTCCGGCCCCGGCACGACGGCGGCGGCCCCGGCACGATGGAGACCACGATGGGACGGCTGCCGTCCATCGATGGGTTTCCCATACTTTGGTACAGTCGGGGCGTTGACCTAAGGAATCCTAAATAAGGAACGAGGCCCCCATTTTCCATAAGTTGAGCTTCGATTTCGTATCGAAAACCTAAGGAAAATCTGGGGCAAGCTGCGGAACAATTCAGGAACACGGAGCCCCTCCCCAACGAAAAGGGTTCCTTCTTCAGGGCCCCGACTGTAGGTTGCCAGAAACCCCGAGGGAATCTGGCGACCCATGGGCTTTCCAAAACTATCCCCACCGAGTTCTGGGAAACCCATGCCGCCAGAACCCCCTAGGGAATCTGGAGACCTATGGGTTTCCCCAGATTCTTCCCGCCGAATGATGGGAAACCCATAGGTGACCTATGGGTTTCCCAGAATTGCCCCCGCCGAATTATTGAAACCCCATGGGTCGCCCGAACCCTCTTAGGGAATCTGGCGACCTATGGGTCTCCCAGAATCGCCCCCGCCGAATTATGGGAAACCCCTGGGTCGCCAGAAACCATCAGGGAATCTGGCGACCTATGGGTTTCCCAGAATTGTCCCCGCCGAGTGATGGAAAACCCAGATCGCCAGACACCACTGGGGAATCTGGCGACCTATGGGTTTCCCAGAATTGCACCAGCGACTTATGGAAAACCCATAAGTCGCCAGAAACCCTTAGGGACTATACTATGGCGACCTATGGGTTTCCCAAAGTTGTCCGAACTGTCACCGCCGAAGGATGGGAAACTCATAGGTCACCAGAAACCCCGGGGGAATCCGGCGATCTATGGGTTTCCCAAAATTGCCACCGCCGAATTATTGGAAATCTACACGGCGCCAGAAACCCCATGGGGAATCTGGCGACACATGGGTCGCCCAGAACTGTCACCGCCGAAATAGTGGAAACGCATAGGTCGCCAGAAACCTCTGGGGAATTTGGCGATCTATGGGTCTCCCAGAATCGCCCCCGACGAATTCTGTGGAAACCATCGGTCGCCAGAAACCCCTTTGGGAATATGGCGACCTATGGGCTTCCCAAAGTTGTCCCTTCGATGTATGGGAAACCCATTGGTCGCCAGAAACTTTTGGAAAATCTGGCGATCTATGGGTTTCCCAAAATTGTCACCGCCGACTTATGGGAAACCCATAGGTCGTCACAAACCCCATGGGGAATCTGGCGACCTATGGGTTTCCCAGAATTGTCACCGCCGAATTCTGGGACACCCATGTCGCCAGACACCCCAAGGGAATATGGCGACCTATGGGTTTCCCAGAGTTGCCCCCGCCGAATTATGGGAAATCCATAGGTCGCCAGAAACCCCTTTGGGAATCTGGCGACCTATGGATTTCCCAGAATTGTCACCGCCGAATTATGGGAAACTTCTAGGTCGCCAGACACCCCAAGGGAATACGGCGACCTATGGGCTTCCCAGAACTGTCACCCCAGAATTATGGGAAATCCATGTGGCCACCGCCGAATTATGGTAAACCCATACGTCACCAGAACCCTCCAGGGAATCTGGCGACCTAAGGGATTCCCAAAATTGCCAACGCCGAATTTTGGGAATCCCATAAGTCGCCAGAAACCCCGGGGGAATCTGGCGACCCATGGGTCGCCCAGAATTGCACCAGCCGAATTTGGGAAACCCATAGGTCACCAGAAACCCCTCAGGGAATATGGCGACCTAAGGATTCCCAGAATTGTCACCGCCGACGTATCGGAAACTTCTACGGCGCCAGAAACCCTATGGGGAATCTGGCGACGTATGGGTTCCCCAGAATCCCCTCAGCCGACTTGTGCGAAACCCATAGGTCGCCAGAAACCTCTAGGGAATATGTCGACCTATGGGTTTCCCATAATTCGGAACCTGGACCTCGCTCGCCGCCACGAATGATGGGAAACCCATAGGTCGACATATTCCCTAGGGGTTTCTGGCGACCTAGGAGTTCCTCATAATTCGGAACCTGGATCCCGCTCGCCGCCGCAGCCGCAACCACAGCCGCAGCCGCAGTCGCAGCTGGCAATCGTCCATCTACGGGTTTCCAATACTTCCGAAGTATGGGAAACCCATAGGTCGCCAGGAACCCCTAGGGAATCTGGCGACTCATGGGAAACCCATAGGTCGCAAGGAACCCCTAGGGAATCTGGCGACTTATGGGAAACCCATAATTTGGAAGGATGGGAAACCCATCGATTGACGACCGCCGATGTGACCCCCTGTGTTTTCACATGTGTGCAGTCCTGGGACGGCTTTTGCCGCGGTCGGCTTCTCAAACTCTGACGTGCATCTCGGGGTCGACGACCCCCAATTGCCCGAAGGCGTTCCCCATGAGCTGCCCCGGAGATCCTTCGTCAAGTTCCTCCCGCTGCCTCCTCCTCCAGCTGGACCTCTTCATCCTCCTCCTCCTCCTCCTCCTCTCCTCCAACTCCCCCTCTTATTGCTCTTCCCTCCCCCCCTCTCCTCCTCCTTCTCCTTCCCCTCCCTCCTCCTCCTCCTCCTCCTCCTCCTCCTCCTCCTCCTCCTCCTCCTCCTCCTCCTCCTCCGCAATCCTCCTCCTCCTCCTCCTCCTCCTCCTCCTCCTCCGCATCCTCCTCCTCCTCCTCCGCCTCCTCCTCCTCCTCTTCCTCCTCCTCCTCCTCCTCCTCCTCTCCCTCCTCCTCCTCCTCCTCTCCCTCCTCCCCCTCCCACTCCCCTTGCTCCCCACCTACCTCGGCGAAGGCTGACGCCGCGGGGCGCTCGCCTGCGTCCACTCCACAACTTCCGCCACGACCACGGCGGTGTCGTCTACCTGGGCGTCGAGGGAGGGTCGACGTGGGAAGCAGGGCGGCGCTGGCTGTCGTGAATGCTGGGCGAGGGGGAGATGCAGATGCTGCTGCTGCTGCTGATGAGTACGGTGGTGCTGATAGTGATGATGAGGACGATGGCCAGTATGATGATGATAGTGGTGATGATGACAACGATGGTATGGATGATAATGAGGACGGTCATGATGATGATGATGATGATGATGATGATGATGATGATGATGATGATGATGATTGGTGGTTGTCAGTATGACGATGATGAAGGGGAGATGCAGATGACGATCAAGATTTTGATGATGATACTTATGATGATGATACTTATGATGATGATGATGATGATGATGATGATGATGATGATGATGATGACGGTGATGATGGGGATGCTGATGGTGGGGATGATGATGGCCATGATGATGGTGACAATAATGATGATACTGATGATAATGATGAGGGGGAGATGCAGATGCTGATGATGGTTGTGGTGACGATGACGATGATGATGACGCAGATGGTCGTTATGATGACGATGATCAGGGAGAGATACAGATGATGATGATGATGATGATGATGATGATGATGATGTTGGTGATACTGAGGATGATGGTAGCGGTGATGATGATAATGCTGATGGTGGGGATGATGATGGGGGGGATGCAGAAGATTATGATGATGATCGTGGTGACGATGGAGATGCTGATCGTCATGCTGATGATGGTGATGATGATGATGACGTGGGAAATGCAAATAACGAGGATGATGCTGCTGATGATGATGCTGATGGTGATGATCAGTATCATGATGATGATGGTGATGATGATGATGTTGATGGTGATTGCCATCATGATGGTGATGATGAGGGATAGATGCAGATGATCATGATGATGATCATGATGATGATGATGATGACGATGACGATGATGATGATGATGATGATGATGATGAGAAGGGTGGTGATGGTGATGACGAGGTTGACGACGTTAGAGGTAATGGTGATGTTCAGTATGATAATGATGCGGGGGGGGGGATACAGATGACGCTGATATGACGATGACGGTGGTGCTGATGTTGATGATGGCGCTGATGACGATGGCGGTGGTGATGGTGATGATGATGATGCTGAGTGTAAGGGTGATGATCATGATAATGATGAGGTATGGACGCAGATGATGATGATGATGGTGATGATGAAGACGATGCTTGTGATGGTGGTGGTGAAAATAATGGTGCTGATGGTGAGGATGATGATGATGATGGTCATTATGATGATGATCAAGACGATGGTGATGATGATGATGGGGAAAAGATGCAGATGATTATGATGATGATGATGATTGATGGTGGTGATGATGGGGATGGTGGTGATGCTGACGATGATGGTTAGCATGATGCGGATGATGATGATGATGAGGGAGAGATGCACATTATGTTGATGATGATGGTGGTAATGATTATGGTGGTGATGCTGACAGTGATGATGATTATGCTGGTGGCAGTGATGATGATCATGGTGATGATGACTATGATGATGATGATGATGATGGTGCTGATAGTGATGATAATGACGATGTAGATGATGAAGACGAAACTGATGGTGATGATGCTGGTGAGAATGATGATGAGGGAGAGATGCGCATGATGATGGTCATGCTGATGATGATGATACCGACTATGAATATGATGATGGTGATGATGATGACGACGATGAGTAGAATCATTATGATGATGAAGATGAGTATGGTGATGAAGAGGTTGATGATGGTGATGATGATGGTCATGATTGTGATAATGAAGAATATGAGGATGAAGATGAAGGCGATTATGTTGATGGTGATGATGATGACGAAGAGGAGAAACAGCATAACGGAGAGGATGATGAGGGAGAGAAGGATTCGAAGCAAGTGTCTGCAAGACTCGAATGCAATTGTTGAACGAATTTCGACATGGGGGCATACCTGGCAAGGCTACTGACCCGGCAAGCCTTCTGATTCGGACCGTGATGAACGTTGCCACGGCCTGGGGGAGCAAATTGCTGGTTCTGCTCACTGACCTCGAGAGTACGCTTTACTTGAAGGCGTTGATTTCTAGGTTCGCATTCTGAAAATAGCTTCCATGACACCCAGGACCTAGGATAGCTTGGCGTTCTGGATTGTCTCGCCCCCATAATCAAGACGATTGTGGCGTTCCAAAAGATTCTTGACGGGTTGGACGACAAGCATCTGCGAGGGGAAATGGTAGTCTCTGTCGTGCACCTGGTTTGCCAAGAGAGGCCGATAAAGGTATGGTACATAAACTACGGACCAGACCAGGAGGGCCCCTATCCGAGCTGCTTTGGTCAACCTGACCTTCGGATCCCCTCACGTGCCTATCAGTTGCAGACTGGCAATCATTGACAGACACTTCAGAAGGTTACAGTCAAATATAGGTGGCATGTTTTATTCTTTCGCGGAAATCGGTTTCAAACCAGCTGGGATTTGGGGTCCCAACGGATTTTGATTATTTGATTTCGACAGTTGGTGGCACTCATGCGCCGTCGCGACGCAGAGCGGAGTAGCCGTAGCCGATGGCGTCCACGAGGAGACTCTGATCCGAGGCTGCAGGGTCAACTACAAGGTCGACTGCACGAGCAGTCTGCTTTCTCATGCGGCCCGCGGGTCCAAACAAACCCGAACTGAGATTGCCCAGCTACCCAAAACCAACTTGCCGATCCCTGGGGACGATGTGCCGCTGAGCGTGACCAGCCAGATTGTTCGCGTTCTCTGGGGCCTTCTTGGTTCTTCGAATATGTTGGTGACATGTTTGGCTATCTTTGGGCGACAGTTGTGTGGGGAGTCTTCTGGAGCCAATGCTGTTTCCTTGCCAATTTGAGACGTTTGGGAGCTCGCTGCAAGGAGCCGTCATATGCGATCTTGAAGGCTGCCTGGGAGGCGCTATTCTAAAACCTTTCCAACACGGGACGAACATCAATGAGTTTGCCATTCGGAGGGCGCGCGCTGCTCGAGCCATCTCGAGCATTCTTGGGAACCTCTTCGGCGATCTTGGGGCCATCTTGAGCCCTTCTGGCGCTATCCTGGTGTCCTGGAAGCACTTTGGGGCCCCCACCCACCCCCAGGACGGTTGCGGGCGAGCCCCCGACACCCTGGCACGTCGAGAGCGGTGCGCGGAAGATCGCGGGGCGTAGCGCGCCCTCCTCCTCCTCCTCCTCCTCCTCCTCCTCCTCCTCCTCTTCCTCCTCGTCGTCCTCCTCGTCCTCCTCCTCCCCCTCCTCCTCCTCCTCCTCCTCCTCCTCCTCCTCCTCTGCCTCCCCCCCTCCACGTGAGCCCCGGAATGAAAAACGGAGGCCGAGCCGCAGCCCAGCCGCGGCCGCGCCGCCCTCGTGGAAGCCCGTTTGGGCGATATCTGGGCGTCCTGGATCGTCTTGGATTAGTGATCCATGGATTGAGCGCACGGTCACCAAATCCATGGATCGGGGGAAGTGCCCTCCCCAAAATGCGGCTGGTGCCGCCTCGTTCGGCAACGGAAATCCGCGATCCCCCATGGAAGCGGGAGCCGTCGCTAATCCACGCCCCCTTGATCCATGTTTGCGATCGCCTGAGAGAGCCTGGACAGGCAGAAATGCTAAAACGCACCAGAAACCTTTGGAACATCAGTGGTTTTGGCTTCTCGGGGCCCTTTTGGGGGTGCTCCTGGGGACCCCCTGGGCTGGAAACCTTTTGGGAAGAATGTTAGAACGAGCTTCCGCGACTGCAGGCCTCTTGAGGCCTTTCGAGCAGTTTTCATGTGTGTTTGGGGGTGCCTCGTGCCAGGGGATAGTATATATATATATATATATATATATGCATGCATAAATGCATACATACATCTGCAAACCTATATGTATGTGTATATATATATATATGTACACACATATTTCTGAATACACACATACATATGTACGTAGTTCAAATACATACATACGTACACACATACACACATACATACATACATACATACATACATACATACATACATACACACACATACATACATACATACATACATACATAATGCACAGGGTGGAACCTGGCTGTGAAACGCCTCGAGATTCCACCCGCCCAACCCCCAGGCACCGCCCCCGCGGCCCAAAGGGAGGACGGAAAGGACCAGGAGAGAGGCGGAGACGCAGGCGAAGCATGTGCAAAAGGGACGCGCGACAGGCGAAGCCTGGACAGGAATGAGCAAACGCGATGCAGCAACCTCATTTGCACCAGAACACGAACTGACCAAAGCCATCTCGTCACGTTCGATATGTCAGTACGGACGTGCCGCAACACATATATCAAACTCCCCTCGGTCGAGGGCATCGCGCTGACATGAAAGCCCCACCCGCAGGTCAAGGGAAATATAATGCACAAGGTCGAGCCTGGCTCTGAAACGCCTCGAGAACCCGCCCACCCATCCCCCGGGCACCGCCCCCGCGGCCCAGGGAAAGGACGGAGAGGACCAGGGGAGAGGCGGAGACGCAGGCGAAGCATGTGCAACAGGGACGTGCGACAGGCGAAGCCTGGACAGGAATGAGCAAACGCGATGCAGCAACCTCATTTGCACCAGAGCACGAACTGACCAAAGCCATCTCGTCACGTTCGATATGTCAGCGCGGGCGTGCCGCGACGCAAATCTCAAACTCCCCATCAATCGAAGGCGTCGCATTGAAACGGAACCTCATCCCGTAAGTCAGAAGGAAATCCCTCAATCTCCAGACTTCAATACGCTCTGAGTGTATGAATATGTCAACCTCCGTCGCGCGATGCCCTCCAGGTTCGACGGCTCTGCCCGCCTCGGAGCCGCCGCCCGCGCGCGTGCCCCAACCGATCAATCAAGGTAAAAGCACCTCTGCCGACTCGAACCCACCAGGGCACCCGAGCGGTGGGAACCTGGAGCACCTCGCGTGCCTTTGGCGGCGCCCTCATGGCCGACGCGTCCGCTGCAGTTTCGATGGCGTCTATGG